TTTTCTGTTAGTTTTTAGTAAATTAGTTAATTCTTTTACTATCCTGGAATATCTATAAATAAACCTCTAGTAAAAGTTAGTAAAACCCAGAAATACTTAGACTTCTTGGATATTATTCTTTAGGGCCGGCTATTCCCTAATAGCTATAACCTGGCTAGCCTCTATTTCTATATTATCTGGGCTAATTATAAATCCCAGGAACTTTACTTTCTTTATATTAAACTCGTATTTTGCCAAGTTTATAAAGAGCTAGTATTACTATAACTACTCGAATATATATTAGACCGCTATTATATACTATTCTGGGTTCTCTAAATAAATTAAAATATTATCTAGATAAACTATATAAATAATATTTATAAGGCCTACTAATATATAGTTAATATATACCTGAAATATTACTAGAATATTAGATAATCTAAAAGATATAATATAATATTCAAAATATCTATAATATATTTGGAATACCGTTTTCTACTTATTATCCTCCCGTATTCGTAACTAATAGTAAGTATTCTTTAAATCTAGCTTTATATATACTTTTACTCTATAAAGCCTATCTATTATCTTACTAATAAATAGTAATAGTATTCGGTTCTTAATAGTAATCCTATTTAGATTCCGGTAGTTAATATATAGATATAGGCCGCCTTTTTTCTTTAGAACAAATATAATTAGGATACTAGCTAGGCTAGTAAAATAACGGATCTATTTCTTTTCTAAGCTAGTATTAAGATATTCCCGAAGAACTTTAAGCTCTCTTTCTAATAAAGTATATATAGAACTATATAGTAGTTAGGATCCTGGTTCCAGATCTATATAATACTCTATTATATAGTAGTTAGGCAGTATACCTATAGCCTCTATAGAGAATATTCGGAAAAGGTCCTAATATTTCCTGAAAAGTATAGCTATCTCGTTTATAGTAATAGCAGTAATCCTTTAGCTATCTGTTATAGAATAGGTAGTTAATAGAAAAATATATGTTTTATACTTTACTACTTTAGTAAACTTTCTAGTATTTAGAACTTTAATTTTCTATAGTTAAATCTAGTATCTTTATATTGCCTCTCTAAAGGAAATTAGGGGATTAACCTAGTAAAGCTATAGAAATCCAAGTATTATATTAATATAATTTAGATCGAAATTATATAATATAAAGTATATATTAGCCTCCCTTTAATTCCCTAGTATATCCTTAGTAGTAATCCCAAAAATATAATCTTTATATAAATAAATCCTCCTTTCCTCTAGTAAAGACAAGGGAGTTACCCTTAATATTAACGGAATACCTATATCTAAGGCTAATCTCCTCTTTATATAATTAGCCTCTATACCCGAATTAACTAATACTCTAACCCTTTGCCTACCTTTCCTTATCTTAATAGTAACCTCAATTACTATTCTCGTTTTAGGGGCCTTACCCTCTATAGTATAAATAAATGTAACTACTATAAAATATACCCGTTTCCCGGCTTCTTTAGTTCTGGGCACTTATATGTTTTATAGCCAGACTTATTATAGTTATAGCAAGTTGGTTTTCCCTGATTTGGACAGATAGTAGTATAGTAATTCTTTTTCTAGTAAATAAAGCAAGTTATACCCGGTCTTATAGATTCTAATACAGGTACTATATTAGATCCCGTTACTATACTTTTGCTACTCTAGTTATATAAACCTTATAACGGGGATATACTTCTTTTCCGTTTCTCTTTATTATTTCCTTTCTTTTTTCTCTAATTTCCTTTCTTTTATTAATCCGTTAGCTTATTATTATATTCCCGTTAAGCAGACTAGTTTAAGTTATTCTTGACCCTTATAGCTACAGAAATAAGCTTTTCCCTTTCTTATAAAGTATTTCCTTAGTAATTAATCTTATTTCAAATCTCCTGCTTCAAGCTACTAAATAAGTTATTCCGCTCTTATAGTAAATCCGTATATCCTAAGTTATCTAATAAGCTATTTAAGTAGGATATAAAGCTTTGGATATTCTAACCTGGCTACTATTTTATATTCTTAAACTTAGTAAGGGTATTATTACTATAGTTCTCCGGATCCAAGATAGAATTCTTTATAAACTCGATAAAGGTCTCCTAATCCGTAATATTAATGCCTACTAATTACTCTCTATACTTTCAGATATTCCTGGCTATATTCTCAAAGCAGGAAGTATAATATATAACCTTTACTATATCTATAGCCCAGGTAATCCCGCCGTTTTTATACTATTTTAGCTCCGCCTAGTAAAAGAAGTCCTAGGCTTCCTTAATACTCTTCCCCTTATAGGTTAGTAATTCTCGGGTTTTTGGAGTTCTATAAACTAAATATATTACCGGTAATATAATAGGTTCTATAATAGGTACCCGAATATCCTTAAGATAGCGAATCTGAACTTCCAAATCCTCTAGATCCTTCCTCTATTATATCTCTGCTTCTAACTTAGTAATATAATAACGAGCTACCGCTAGCTTCTCCGTTATTATTATCCTGCCAGCTAGTTCTGGGGGTATTTGAGTTCTACTCCCTTTTCCTAATTAGGCAGTAGCTAGAGTGGCTGACTGGATACTCCCCTGGGTACCCGACTGGATTGCCCTAGTAATAGTAGAGGCGCTTCTTCTGGTTAATACTCTAGCTATTAGTGGTTTTGTCTATTAACGGCTTGACTACCTTGTAACGAACTGCTCCCCGAAGATTGGATCAATTAGAATATAAGGTATATAATAGCAGGATAATATATAAGTAGTCAAGATAAGTAAGCTGCAGAGTAATACTTGCAAGTATAACTGATTCCAAGAATTGATTCTAATAAGAAACTAATTAATACCCCTTCCAAAGCTAGGAGCGTCTCCCTATATATTCCCTAGTACTTAGCCAGGCATGTGAAGCCCTTTACTTAATTAGGAAATCCCATATAATCTATATAATTCCGATTATAAGCTATACCCAAAATAGGAAACTAGATCTATAATATCTGATACCTGTCTATATACTATTACGTATACCTATTACATATATATAATTATAAATAACTTAAAACTTTATTAAATTTTATATTATAGTAAATAATAGAAATTTTAAAAGATTAAAGAATTATATATAAAGGCTTTCTTAATAAAAATATATTTATAAATTATTTTTATATATATAATATTTATAAAATAGTTAATAAGTTTATTTATAAATAGTCTATTCATTTATATTTTATAAATAATAAAAAGTCAATTATTTTTTAATTATTTTTTAATTTAAACTTAAATTTTAATAATAAATAATGCTTTTTATTAAAAACTCTTTATATACTATAACTAATATTATTAAATAAAGTAAATTTTATATAATTATATAACATTTTATATATTTATTATAAAACTATATTAAAAACTTATTATTTTAGTAATTTACTCGATTATATCTATAGTCTCTATATTTTAAAAATGAAGTTAAAAGGATTTGTAGTTATTTAATTATTAAGATTTTGAAATATTACTAGAGCGTGTTTTGGTACGGGACGTGTTTTGGTGCGGGGCTTCGGTTATTGCCTCTGAGTCAAATCAAATCAAGCGAAATCTACTTAATCAAATCATAATTAACTATAATTAACTATAGTTAATTATAGTTGTTTATTTAGTCACGTGACCGTGCACGTATACTCGGAGATTAGAAAAGCGAGATAAGGCTAAAATAAGGCTTAGGCTAGCCCGTATCCGGTATTGCTTAAGGTGCTCCTTACTAAATCGGGTATCGTGCCGCTTGGTAAGCGAAGCGGCACCAGCCGAAAGCGCTAAAACTTCCTCGATTTTCTAGTAATTTCTCGCTACCTTATAAATCTTATTATTATAAATAAAATAGCTAAAAATAGGCCCTCTCACAAATGAGCACTTTAATACTAGGGGGTTATATCTAATTAGAAGCTTATTAAATAATCTTCTCGATTCTAGAGGTTTTATATATAAATAAGTAATTTTCTTTAAGTTACTCCCTTTTCCTCTTACTTTATATATAAATATCTCAATAACTATAGCTCTAAGTAAGAAGATTTTGACTATAAACTTACTTATTTTGACTCAATATATTCGAAAATGTCTCAATAATCTTTAATTAACCTTAATATCCCTCAAAATAGAAAGGAATAAAAAAAGCAGAAAATAAGAATAAAAAAGATAAAGCGGTTTCTAAACAGAATAACCAGTTTTTTATGCCAGATTTAGACTAGCTTTATACTCTTATATATATTTTATAAGCTTTATTTATATCTTATTAATATAGCTATTAGTTATTTAATAATTATATAAGTTATCTGAGAAATTCAAGTTTTTTTAGTATTATATAATAATTATAATCAAATCAAATCAAGTCAAAATCTACTGAATCAAATCATAATCAACTATAATTAACTAGCCTTGATTTTTTTTGACACACTGCTAAGTTCCAATGAACGTAATTTTCGCGGAGGTTTGAGAGCGCATTGCATGGAAAGGATCGCTTAACTTTAGGCATTCCAAAAATGAACAAAATCACTATCACAACTTATACAGTTCAGTTCAATAAGAAAAACAGGTCTGAAGGGTGCGCAACAGTGAACATTGCGGTAAATAAGTAATCAATTTGCTGCTTTGTATTTTTCTCCGTAATACATTCTCTAGGGAAAGTAGTCCATCACATGAAGCCAATACAGCAAAACCTATCGTGTTATTTCAGCAGCCCAGTTCCTCAGCCTCCGAGGACAAGCTTGCTCTGCTGATTTTGCGCAACGGGATCATTGAAATCTAGAAAAATGGCCAGCCGCCGGAACAGCAAAAATACAGAACCTGTAGCTTGCGTCGTCCGCGAGCTTCAACTCGTTAAAACATCATCCAAATACCCTGATTACTAGCATCGGGTAGTGATAAGAACAGGACGTACAAAGGCGAGAGACTTCACCTTTATATATTTTGGTGTGTAAGGCAGTGCTCCGAGTCATTGATAGAGAATGGAACAATGAATTATTTCAAAAGATTGGCAGCGAGGTTGCCTTGGATTTATGAAAAGGGAATATCTGATTTGAGAAGTATTGTCCAATCTATTCGGACAAAGTAAAGAAAGATTCGATCGTTTTGTGGTACTGTACATCGCACTAGCTGTCTGAATTCGTGCTAATACGTAATATCTCATTCAGTCGAGTATCCACGGTGTGAATTAGCAATCTGTCAGCTTCGTTGCAGATTAGGCTAGGACATTTAAATTCGACCTGACTGCTTACATTGCCTTTTGCGAAAGAATATCCCCTCTAACAAGCCCAAGAAATATCATATTTGCGTTCCGCATCTTAACCACTTCGGTTCGCTATCCAAGCAATCAACGAATCCTAGCCATTCTCTGTACGCCGTCGAGAGCAATGTGGCGTCGGCCCAAGATGCCCACTCCAACCCTCTCGTATGCCTCCTCGTTGGCGTGAGCACAGAGATGAAGGATTAGGGCGTAATACTGCATGGGCTCAGTTTTGCTCTTTCCAACGACGACACAATGAAGAGGCTGGCCCAAGGTACGACGAGGATCGTCCAAGATGACTTCTGCACCTTCTGTATTAACAACCTCCCATATGGGCGCTTCTAAGTCAAGAGCTGCGTCCGTCTGCGCACCCTTCGAAAAAGGTGAGATGATATCGTTGCACCATTCAGCTTGACCAAAAGGAACAATCATGTATCGAATCTGGCCGTCATATGCCATCCACGACCATGAGGGGACTATCTTGCCGCCGCGAAAGGCATCAATGTGTTTCAGAGTATCTCCGGCACGTTGCCATAGCAGACAACGGTGCAAGTAGATGTCAAAGACCCCGTAGCCACCAGTAGTGCCGAAAGTGTCGAGGAGCCTGGTCTCAAGGCCTTTGATGGCGATAGGCCGATCTGAGGGAAACGACAGGGCTAGCCTGGAATACCGCTCGTAGAGGTCTTGGGAGAGTTCGATACGCATTCCTTTCACGTACTTCTCTGCGGCGTTGGGAAAGTTGGCGTCGCCGAGAAAAGATGCTTTACGACTTTTGTGGGAGGCGAAAGTCAGTAACGAGTCTCAAGACAAATATAGAATGGCTGGTTACAGTGGTATCAAAAAAGATACCGGCGGGTATATTACGTTAAGCAAAGAAAGGGAGAAGAGGACACTCACTTCTTCATCTTGGTCATCGTCTCGCACTGCACCCCTCCCCCGCACTCCCAATATGACTGTGTCTCCGTGAAGTAAATCGTTCTTCGTGATAGTGCTCGTTCCTGCAGCACCCAGCCTCTCTGATTCAACTCACCTTGGTCCACATCGCGGTGGAAGTCGTCAATAGTCTCACAAACGCAGTAATTTCCGTCTCCAGGAGGTCCCTGCATCACAACACATCGTCTTTCCGGCCTGGGTTTGAGGAACCCGTCGCTACTACCACTGGCGCAGCTGGCAGCGATTGTGCAGTACGCCGAGCTGAAGACGCGCCCCATAAGTTTAGACTCTGCCTCCCAGTCATCTTGGTCATCTTGAACGATGCAGAGAGAATCGATCCAGAGGTGTTTCAGTCCAAGGCCACGTGTAACATGGACAGCATCCTGAAAGGTCTTTGGTAGTCGAGTTATCTCAAAGCCGCGTTGGAGATCCTCGATATTGGATTTGTAAGTGCAGAATTTGGCGTGCAGCTGGGGCGATCCCCAGCGGTGGGACAGGGCAGCGTATCTTCCCGACCCAGTGTAGTCTCGACCAAGGTTCACCAACCTGACGGTTCCAGAGTCACTGTCACAGACATCGAGAAACCGAGTTGGAAGAGAGCCAAGATCTTTCGGGTAGCAATCATGAGTATCATCACAGCAGCGGATCCATTCCCTCATAATCTTGAGATGCGTCGCGCTTCCAGCTTGGGGAAGTTTGGGAATGCCCATCTGAATGTCCTGCAAAGTAGACTTCCGAGAACCTGATGTCCCGTCAGTAATATTGAAAGATGGGTTGGAACTTGATTGTATCTCGAACATACCTGGCATTGCGTAGAGATTGGCGATAGCTTGACCTTCACATTCCTCCATCGTCAAATAGGAGCCGACTCTGGCAAAGCGAACAAAGTCCCGGCGTCCTTTCATCCGAGGTTGTACGCCTTGTAAAAGCAATCTGCAAAGAGTGCATCTCTCCTTATCGGCCTTTTCCTCGAGTTGGGCCAGTGAATCCGTAAATATACACGCAGTAGACCACAGCCGCAAGGCACTGCAGCGGCGGCAAAGCTGGGAAGGTTCGCGCGTTTGAGGCAGGATAGTACTTAAGTCAAGACCCGCAAAAACCTTTCCCGCAATACTGCCATCAGGGGCATAATCCCAGTCGTCGTTTAGCTACAGGAACGTGAGTTTGCGCGTGCATGGGGAGAGGCAGAATTCTCACCGGCTTGCAAGAAGAAGTAAGTCATGGAAACTCAAGCTCCGCGTGCGTGAGCAATGCGTTGTTTCAAGAAAGACAAAATAGGGTTGGAAACTCGACGTACGGTCTGTCAGAGACGGGTTAGTTGTATACTCAGAGTAGGAATACCGAGCGAATACTCACAAACTGGGTCGGGCCGTCAGTTAGTAGACACTTCGATGAAGAGAAACTGTAGTAATTACTAGGGTGAAGCGACCTACTCTCTACTCAGCCAAATAGGAAAGGAAATTAGTCAAATATGCTTGCTAAATCTTTCTTCCAATCAACCTGGCGCCACTTACATACTATACAGAGGTTGAATAAGTATTAATTCCAACGAGGCCAAGAGTATTATGAGAACTTACTTCCTATTCAAATAGAAGATCTGTATTAGAACCATAACGACGAAGAGTTACTATTTTGCTAGAGGACTCACATTCTGCTGTAGCGAGGAGTTCAAATTAGAAATTGAGCTGAGAGGATATGGGAGGTCGAAATAAGCTAGCATACCCGAGTGTTAATCTCCCCGACGTGTCTATTTTGCTCAGTAAACTGTACACGTGAAGGCCCTGGAGGGGGTGCTTCTCCGCCTAAGGGAGGACTTCCAATCGGCTGGATTTGCTTCCGGTCCAAACCAGTAAGAATAAGCTCAATTTCCTTTCTCATCTCTGGTGCATAAGCACGAGATTTTGGATCAGGATTCGTAAGGGAAAGAAGGCCTGTATTCTGTCTTTCGGGCGGAGTTCTGTTTCGAATCTCTTTTTGGTGCACTCTGTCTGATTCGCCGACTGAAGTTGCTGTTATTGATGGTTGAGTCATCGAACCTGGTTCCAATTCCAGAGTTTCGCCAAAGATCGGGGATGGTGGCTGGGAATCTGACGCTTCTTCTTTCATCGGCAAGGTGAGGCTACTTTGGCCGTTGACAGGATTCCGAAGGCCAAGGTCGACAACCAGCAGCCGAGTTTCGATTAGCTCAACCAGGTGCCGGACAGCAGTGTCTTTGGAACAACGCCAATCTGCTTTGATATAGCGGATCCAAACTCCCACCTCGCCATGAACTTTAGCCGTTTGGCTCTTTGTAGGGCTCAGATTTTGTTGGCCCTTTGTGTTCGAGCTTTGCTTTTGAGTTTCAAGTGTGTAGAAAGATCCGTCGAGACAATTGGAAAATTCTATAAGTTTCTGAGGGCCGTAAAGCAGCCAAATAGTGAATTCAAGGAGAATACATCCCATGGACCAAATGTCGTATCTGCGTGATCTGGGAGCGTTGCGGACAATTCCTAACTCTGGGGCTGCATGAGTGACTGTCGCAGCTGTAGAGTATGTGAATACTGCCAACTCCTGACGCTCCTTGGTCGCCATATTGTGCTTTTTGGCCAGCCCGACGTCGGTGATGACTAGCCTCGGCTTGTCTTCCTGACCACCTTTGGTCTTGAAGCAAAGGATATTCAAGGGTTTCAAGTCTCCATGGCGGTAATTTTCCTCAGACGCGCTAGCCCTGTGGTGCAGGCACTCCAGCGCGCGAGCCAACCCAGTGAGCTGTGTGAAGACCCATATCATATAGTCCCGTGCTGTCTTTGGAGTAGTGGTTATCCAAAATTCCCACAAATTACCCAACTCAGCCCAGGGAAACATAAAGTAGTGGTCGTTTCCTTTCTGATAATAGGCAATGGCCTTGATCAAATGAGGTTGGTCAGTAAGTCCTCTCATCATCTCGAGAACAACGGCCTCGCCTTCGGCTATAGCTGCGAAATCTTTGCCTGATCGTTTCAGCTCCTTGATGGCAACAATAACATTGCCCTTGTCATCCAAGAGATCATCCTCACGAGTAGTTAGTATTACGGTAATATTTGAAATCAATTTAAGGGAAAGCTGAGGTATCTTACAGAATTCTTAGGAAGGTGGCCAGCATGAACACTCATCTTTTCCACGTAGCTGTATAACGTCGTAGGCTCCGAATCCCTTTTCCCCCAGCTCCTTGTAAATGGCAGACGGATTTCGTCTGGAAAGTTGTATCGAAACTTGCCCTCGATAAGGACTGGAGGCACGAACGGCCATTGCCAGTGTTGGCAGAATTGGTCGACCCGCCACGAATCTCGGCCCCACGGACTGCTGGGGCCCCAACGAAAGGTCTCAGGAACCCTGTTGCCATCGAAGGTTCCCTTATTACAAGATTCAATCTCCCAAGTCTTGCTGTCCTGTCCTGACCTCTTCTTTCTAACGGGAAGCATGTCATCCTGGAAACCTTTTACATAGAAGTGCTCAATGAGGTCGAAGCCGCGATTCGTGGTAAGGATTGCAAAAACCTTGAAAGCTTTATCACTGTAGAACTGGACTAAATCAGAGATGGTGGTGTTTTGCGTCAATGCTGTCTCTCTGCTGTATTCCTGGAGGACTTTCTTCACCGCCTCCGGGGTTGTCAGTCGTCTGAGGAGTGTCTCCGGAGCGAATTTGAAAGCGTCGATCGTTGAGCACTCCATGACCGTATTAACGTCGTCGAGCATATCATTGAGGGTTAACTCAGACATTTTGATATTAGTTGTGGATGATCTGTTTTGGCTGTTGGGGGTTCTCTGCCCGTTGCTTGGAATGGATACTTCAAGTGAGAGATTAGGTATCTCGGGTGAGAATGGATATCCTTTGACGTTCCTTTGGCCGTTTTGTTTTTGATCCTTTGAAGTTTGATACACTTGCGTGCTTGTTGGGTACTTCTTGTGGGAGAGTGACCAGTCAGTCGGGGTGGATGGTGATTTCTCCTGCTGCGAATTAAAAATCCTTGTGATCGCCTGCGATCTTTCGGATAAGCACCGGCATGTGTGCCGAGAGGAGCCACGTACATGAATAACTGAGGAAAGCCAAGTCCACAGTCCGGAGAGAAAACTCATCGTCGATAATTGAGTCGTCCACACTAGTCGGGCAAAAATTGCGCATGAGATAATATAGAAGGTTCACCTACCCTGAGTCGTGTTCAGTTATGGGATATTCTTATCTCATCATTTTCATGCAGAGCCTCCTTTTGTGGTGAAGCTCCGAAATTATCATGCAGAGGGTCGCAATAGGTGTGTTGCAAAAGAAACTCATTGGCTAAGGACGGGAATGTGTAAAACGACACCCCCCCCCGGGGGTCGATTGGGGCGGGGATGTTGATGACTTGTAATTGGCTACCTAAGCTCCCTAAAAATCTTAAGTTAGATTTTTAATATAAGTAGAAGCTAATATATTATAACCCTTGTATTATAATCACGTGCTTTCTAGCTTATAATAAAAAGATTCCTTAAAATAGAATTTTAATTTAAGGAAGTTTGTATGCTAATTAATTAAGTTCCAGTTTTTAAGCCCTATAATGCCTTATAAATTAGGGGCTTATAGGGCTCTTGTGTTTGGTTTTAGGGACTTATTCGCTAAATTTCTAGGTTTTCTTAAGCTTACTTTTAGGCTATAAAATATTTAACTTTTAATTTCTTTAATTTCAAGAGCTATTACTAAACCAAATTTTATAAAAAGCTATATTTGAATAGCCCTTAATTAGCACTATAAGTAAATAAAACAAGCATTAAATTATATTAATTCCTTATAAGATTAAATTAAATTAAAGAAAAAGCCAGAGTTTTGGTGTTCCTGTCCGAGCGCCTCTACTTTGGGTTAGTGGCTACCTAATCCTAGTAATCGACACCCCAATCGACACCCGGGGGTGTCGTTTTACACATTCCCCTAAGGCGGACAACATGGCCGACCCCGCTCTTGCAGGTCTGACGAACATTTGAATCCTCTAATCGGTGTGCTCAGCCTCGTTGAGCTGGATGCTGGCGGATGCAATGGTGGGCTGATGCTGCCTTCTCGGGTTGCACGATACGTCTCGCATGTCTGCATGGGGAGTGATCATTAAGCTGTCTGCATGAAGATTCCGTGGGGTCATGTCCTGCAGAGAGACCATTCCGGCGGAAAGTAGAAAATGGATTTGTTCAGTGAGCTTGGGGCGCTGAATCTGGGGTTGACGAGAAACGTCACTGGCTACGACGAGTTGAGAAAATGGTCCAGCAAACTTGGGCATAATTGCATCAAAGCTGGTACCATGTACTTCGTACCGAGGTACAGCTGGTATGTATTGGCCCCTGTCGACAGGAGGGGGGGGCGTTGGGGTGCAACTTCAACTTCAACACCACACAACTCTTGTAGTTTTGGACGAAAAATAATTATAAAAACACGTATATGCTCCTTAAGATTAGGTAAATGTAAGGATACATGTTTCCCAGAAATTTTCAATTGTTGTGGTGGCATTGCTAGGAAGAGCTGTGACCCCTGCAAAAAACAGGGGCCAAAACATACCAGCCGTACCTCCGTACATGGTCAAGCTTTACCTAAAGGGCTTCGCCATGTCACTTATCCACTTGCCAGAGATTTCGCAATCAGTTCTCACTTTTGACCTTTTCGCAGGAGTGAACTTACTGGCAAAGCGAACAAATGGAGCCACACCCTCACGGGGAAAACCGGCGCAAAGCCGCTGCGACCTCGACACGAAGAAGAGACTTTTCGTCTTATGTGATGGCACATGGCAGGATGGCATCAACAATAAGAGTCCCTTGACGAATGTCGCAACATTGGCAGCTGCCTCGAGCCCATAGACTCCGACGGCTGTCCCCAAACCGTCTATTATAATAGTGGCATTGGCAACGTAACCAGCAACCCTCACAAATTTGTTGACGCTATAATTGGCAGGGGTAAGCAACAACTCTGGATACGGCATCTGTGCTAGCAACTCACATTGATATCAACAGGAATTTCAGCGAAGATACGCAATGCCTACAGTTTCCTTGCGCACAACTATAACTTCAGAAGAGAAAGCGATGAAATCATTCTTGTTGGCTTCTCACGAGGCGCTTTTGCAGTCCAGTGCCTCGCATCCCTAATCAGCCAGACAGGTCTGCTCGAGAAGCAATACCTATACTACCTCCGGGGTTTGCTCACGCTGTGGGCCCACCAGAAAATTAAAGGGGGGTCCAATAAGCTCGCGGAGAAAGTCCAAAGACTAAAGGACGCGGAGGTCCTCCGCAGTATGACTATCGCCGCCTGTACGGTGTGGGATACTGTCAGCTCCTTAGGTCTCCCAATAGAGCTACCATCGCGAGCACTCTCGTTTGTTGGAAAACAAGTACCCAATCGTGCCGACCATGCGTTCCAGGCACTATCACTGGACGAAAAAAGATCGAAATTCAAGCCTTATCTGTGGGAATACATAGAGCCTGGGGAGCATAGAATTATTAGCGTGAGCCAGTGTTGGTTCTTGGGAGCTCATGCAGATGTAGGGGGCAACGGAGATGCCGCCCTCGGAGCAATGACGCTCTTATGGATGATTGGGAAGCTGCATGACCGGGTTGGTGTTCTTTTCAATGAGTCCGAGATTGCGAAGCACCTCAAACATAAGTGCCTCGAGTGGGAGTTTGCTATTAACAAAACTTTCGGAGTTTTCAAGGAGACTAGGGTTTTGTCCACTATTTCACATTCAGGTAGGAGGTTCGGTCTTATCCCAAGTATGGCGGTGTTGTGGTGACAGACTATACAGGACAAGCTGGCGAACCGGGCTGGTGGTGGTTCTTTCTTGGCCGGTAGACGCGTGCCAACTCACTCATATCGACTGCTTTAAGGGAATCAAGCCAGCTTCCAAGTGTCCCCGCCGAGGTTCACTTCTCAGTGCGCCTCTCAATGGCGTCGAAACGGAACAAATGCCGCATACTAGAGACCTGGAAGACGGTGCACGTTTTGAATAAGGTACAATGGCAGTCTAAGGACCGGCTACGGAAGCTCGATGAGCACACTCTAGGACAGCCGAGCTCTGAGGACAGGGAGCACGACCTGCTCTTGAAGTGGTGCAATCGGGAGTTTCCACCAAGGACGAATCGACTCGAATTCGTCGAGCTGTAAGGAGTCATTGAAGACCCCGAGTCGGGAAGGGACTTCGAACCTTTGCAGATTTCCTTCTTGAGTGTATGGTCTTTGTCGGAGACGACCTTGCGCCGTCGAAGGTCTATCCGCTATCCACAAGGTGCCGGTGAAACTGCAATAGGGCTTGCGCCAATTGAAATAGCTCGTCCGTTTTTCAGTTGCTTTCTTGGTTTTTGTCTGTGTTATTTCAAGCTTTTCAAAGGGCAAAGATCTCCCTTTTGTCTCCCGCCGCTAAACCGCATTTGACCACACATTTGTGCATCCCCCGAGACTCCGATGAAACGGGCACAACCTTAATTCCACTTCTCTCTTCTGACAGCACAGAAAAGACATGGCTACCACTTAAGAAATCTCCGAACACTCTCACACTCTCCAGCTTTTCTGGCATTATTTACTCATTGGGTACCTGGTGGGCAAACGAAGTCGGCATTGGACAATTCCCCATCACCATAGTCCTATCAAAATTCAGAGCTTTCACATTCATTTCTCACAGCACCATGGATGCCGACTTTCTCTTCCACGACCTCTCCCTTCGCCGTGTGGCCTCACGGAGGCCTTAGATGCACGATAGGTCACATCACATGCAGTCTAACAGCCTTATCAGTCGGTGGCAGGGCCAATGCATAGGAATGTGCATCCTCTTCCACTCGGTGTGGTTGCCATAGGCTGCGATTGGCCCAGGAACAGCAACATCACCACCACCCTCACCAAAGCGGCACAGGTAGGCAGTAACTGCGGTCGTGGACTAGACCAAATTCAGACACCGACTTCCCGCTCGTGGTTGGAGTGCGAATCCTCCACCCCCTCCACCATTTTCTAGACATGAACGGGCAGCATGAGTCCACAAGGCGGAGCCGCAACTGGTGTAGCAGAAATAAGGGCGGGTCCCAAGTTGCGATGGAGCTCTGCTCCGCTTCGTGCAGTACACAATCCATTACCAATAACTCGGTGCACACTGGACATACAATCGTCTGCCTCACAAACGTGAATGATGTCGACTCGGTCTCTATACGAAGAGCTTGAGGAGCGAATTTGTCCCCTTACTGGGCACAAGTATCTTGGCAATCTGGAGAGCCTCTCCAAGATAATTACGTGGCCATCAGTCCAGAAGTCGCTAAACCCTTCTTTCGGTCGCCGATGGTTATGGCTACCATACTGGGACAGCAGTCCGGAAAATAAAATCCCAGGAGCAAGAAAGGTCATTGCCATCCTGGTTCGGGCTGGACAATCCAAGACCATCGAAACTCTGTTATCAGAAGACCTCACGGACGCAGATCTTCCCCTTTCCCAAAAGGGGTCAGATCTTCAGTCTGCCTCCCGCGATAAGGTATTCACGTGTTTTAGGACCTGGGAGCCTGGTGCAGTTGAGCGTTTTCTCGAGAAGCAGTGGGTGGTTCTTGAGCCGTTTATGCAACTCAATTCTGAGACTGCGATCAATGTCCAACTCGAAGGCCAATGCGCTCTCAGCTTGGCGTTTTATGCCTGCGTTGAGGTCACCAAAGACAAAGAGAGTACGGCTCATGTCTTCAAAGCCACTGTGAGGCCCGAATTTCACGGTTTCGGCAGAAACGTAAGTTCATTTTGGGTTCTGCCACATGTTTCGGCCACTTCTGATGTTCGGTTACAGGAGAAGCCAAAGGCTGCTGGAGAAGTCTACGTTGCTGTCAAGAAATTCGAACAACGTCGAACAGATGCCTTTGTCAAAGAGAGGGACATGCTGAAGGCAATCCAAGAGAAGGGCATATCGAACGCACACCTCATCAAGCATCTGGCTATCTGTGAGGATGTCCCATGCATCATCTTTCCATGGGCCGATGGAGGAGATTTGGGAGAATACTGGCAGCGCGAGTCTCCAAGAACGCAAGATGAGTTTCTGTGGTCACTCGGACAGATGGTCGGGCTTGTAGATGCCCTGAAGGATCTTCACAAAGGGAAGTGTCGTCACGGAGACCTCAAGCCTGCAAATATCCTCTACTTCACTGAAAATGGTGTTGGCGTCCTGAAGATTGCGGATGTTGGCGTCTCGAGAGTTCACGAGAAAGAGACTGCGCTGAGAAGGGGCGTGACAACCACCTCGGCCTCGACTAAAGTATACGAGGGTCCAGAAGTCAATGCCAAGATTCCGAGGTCGCGTCTATACGACTGCTGGTCGATGGGATGCATCATTCTCGAGTTTGTGCTGTGGCTATTATACGATTTCAAAGCGATCGAGAGCTTCTTGGCTGCCCGGCTCTCCGAATCGCACGGCTATTATCGTCTCGTCGCTAACGCCCCCAATATTGAACCATTGGATAATACGGAGGTACATCCAGCGGTTTATGAAGCGATGAAGCTTCTGCGAGAGGATCCGCGATGTGTCGGTACCGCGTTGGAGGCCCTTGTCAACCTCGTCGACCATAAAATGCTTATGATAAAGCCTAAACAACGCCGGGAAGCTGCTGATCTACACCAGGAACTCCGGGCCATCCTCGGGAACGCCGAGAAGAACCCTTCGTATTTGGTGAGATCGGATCAACCTGTCCCACATGTCCCACCGATATTCAGCCAACCACCGCTGTCATTCCATTCAGACCAAGGGTCTACCTTTCAATAAACATGGGCTTGAAGAAAGAGATTGACTTTTGGAATGCCAACTTGACAGGAGAGCTCAACTCACGGGAACGACTTTACAATTTTAAGCAAAACAGGCCACCTGCGTATGTTCGAATACACCTGCCGCGAATTGCGTTACAAATTCGAAGATGACTTGAATTCCCTCCACCTCTATTTACTGTGAAAGAAGGTGGCCAGAAATGGTAATCTAGACACCCCGACTCGAGACTCGATGCACCGGACCACTTCCCGCTTTTCCTGATTCGGAACTTGCCAGATGAGCTCACATTCGATAAACACAGCACTGGGATTAGTATTTGAGAGCTATCTCTGTTGCAACAACACAGCAGAAATCAAACATTCGAGGTTTGATAGTTTGTACCACCAAGAAGTCTTGAACGATTGTATGTCTTTCTTCAATTCCATAGCTCGTCACATACTAATGAAGTTTTGCCCAAAAAGAATTCCAAGACGTAAAGCAATACCGAAAATGCCTTGAAATTCACCTTCCCTGGGACTCCTTCGTAGGTTTACCCGGTGCCTTCGCTTTGGGGTACCTATGGCCAACGCACACGGTATACGTAATACACTCTACTAGCGAGACCTTGTGGATGAGAACCCTGAGCTATTGGAAAGCGACGGCATTGGATTTTGTGACGCACAAATTTCGTTCTTCCTTGGTTATGAATATCGTTAGAAAGGGGGTCTCAAGTCTGGCTTAATTCAGGGGTTCTCGTTTATCTCTTCTAGCCCATGTCTTTGTCGGCCTATATTCCAATCCCATAACAGAAAACTCATTCTCAGATAGATAGTCTTTTGAGAATATATAAAAACTGTGGCGAAATATCTCCAAGTAACGAGGCCCCCTCCCCGATTCTGTCCCACGGTAGATAATTAAACAAACTGCTTTCATATTTCGGAACTATTTAAATCCTATCTTCCTCCTAGCTTACCAAATCACAGTCGAAGACGTAAATTCTAATAATCGAACTAAACCCACCTAGAGCCTAGAAGCGAGCAAGGGAGGATGCATTCCGACAATCGGGACTCCTTATGTGAAATGAATAGTAGTTAGTAAATAGACCGTGATGGTGCAGCATGATCACTAGCGTGCCCCTGAATCTCGCTAAATTTTCTTCGCTCAGGCAGTTTGTTCGACAAACACACTCGGTAACGATGTACAGGCCGCGGAGCAAGAGCAATCCCTCTAACTGTTTTCGAATTTGATTTCCAGCGGGAGATATACTCTTCTCTTTCGAGAGCAGAGCATTCTCGGCATAGTATGAAGAAATGCGGTGGGTTGAGCCAATCAAGGGAAGCGGCCCCGTGCATGAATTTCATAACACCACACAATATTATTTCGGCACTTTTTCGCTCTTCTTCTTCTCACAGCCCATTAAGATCACATCTGCAGTGTCTGAAAACTCGTGCATTCCCTTTTGTTCCGAAAAGACTCTTCCAAATCAATTCCCCGTGTCAAATCCCGAACGCGCGAATATGACGGCGAAATCACCTGATTGCTCACACATCACCCGATTTTCTCGTGCCACCAAACAAATACCCACCGCGGCCCCTCCCCAGCCTCCACAAAACGCAACCAAATTCCTGCAGGTACATAAATGCCTCTGAGACCCCTTTCTCTGAGCTTCAATATCTCGAAGAAAAATCCTCACGCTCATCTCCATTTCCCTCCTCATTGCCTTCACATTCATGCTCTGGCAACATCTCATATCTTCGAACGCTACTTCTATCGCAAAACTCTCAATTGCAAAGATGTCCGCAGAACCGAAATCGGCAATAATCGTGGGATCTGGACTTGAAGGTTTATCCCTAGCTTTAATACTTATCGCAAAGAGAATTCAAGTTACCCTTCTCGAGCGCTCCGCTAAACCCGGTGGGAATAGCGTTAAAGCCTTATCCGGTATCAACGGCACACCGACTAAGTTTTAACCAGGGCTGCTATTCTCTGACCTCTTCTTCTATTCTAATACTATTGCCTTTTCCGATATGGCCTTTTCCTTATCCTCAGGCACTAAACGATATCTTAGAAAAAGCTTATAGGGAAACTAGTAAATAATTCAAGCAATTATATTAACTAGTTGGTGAAAAAGGGTGTCTATTTGAGTATTATTACCTAGCTTAGTAGGTATTCATTTCCGAGGGCGCATTAAGGAGCAGGGAAGACACTGCCCGGATTCTCTATTATCTTGACTTTACTTGAGGACCTGAAAGCATCCCCTCTTTTCACCTTTTAGACTGGTTATGTAATAATTAAAGTCTTGAAGTTAGAAGGCAAAGTTAATAGAATAAAGCATGTATATAAAGATAAAGAGAAGAAAGAGCTTAGAGGGCCGGTAATCTTTGCCACTAGAGGATTCGCAGGCAATGCAAACGGCTTGCTCGCAACGTATTGCCCTGATCTCGCTGGCTTTCTTTCTACCAATGCCCCGACCTGGTTCTCAACCTTTACTCGCCGAGATAGGAGCCCAACTTCTCAATATGCAAGAAGTGCAAGTCCATCCCACAGTATTCGTGGATCCGAAGGATGTCAGTCATCCGGTAAAGTTCTTAGCTGCGGAATTATTGAGAGGCGAGGGTGGTTTAAGTCTTCGTAACTGCGCAAACCTGCTGCATGGAGTGCGCGCATTCGATGCATGCCATGTAAATGACTCTCTATTTGAGAATGGATGCAATGATTTCACTGCGACGGAGTCTTCTGTGACATGTTTCGACAAGGTTGTAGGGTTGGTTAGCGGCAAGCTACACCCAGTCGACTGGATTATTGGTGGCGAGACCATACTGTCTAGGCAACAATGTCTATTGGGGTGGTCATGTTGGATGAGGCTCCCACCAGTCTCAATGATTGCTTATTGGTGTTAACTCCAGGTATATATGTGACCGAATCTCTTCTCGCCAGTTGCCTTTTTTTTGTAACCTACTCAACAACATCCTCTGTTTACGTCGTCTCAGAAATAACATCATTTATTAAGGTACCTAATTTGTCGCGATACTCAAGCAACATGCACAGTCACGTCAAAGTTATATTAGCCCTTGGTAATTTTGGGGTGTAAGGCAGTGCTCCGAGCCATTGATAGAGAAGGGTACAATAAAAATGATTACAAAAGATTGACAGTGAGGTTGTCTTGGATTTATAGAAAGGGATTGCTCTTTATACAGAAAAGTAGATCAAATTCTCGAAGGCGTGGTTCGTGCGCGTAACTCGATGGATATCTTTTCACCCGAAGGACAGTGGATCGGATCGAATTCAAGTTAAAATTGATGGCTTGTGTTAGATTATCATTCTACCTAAATGAGTTGAAACTTGCCACTTTACTCTTTTCTTCCTTCTAGAGTCTTCCTACCAATTTCCATCCTAGCTTATTCCCTGTCTTGGGGGTGGGGGGAGGAGAATTGCGCTGGGGACCCTGAGCAAACTTAATGCGTGTTGAATATCTTGGGGTCTAGCGGGCTGTCTCGACGTTGGAGGGTCTATGAGGGAGGGGGGGTTATGAATTGATAACTGACGGTTGATCGCCCAACGATCGTCTCCTTAACGGTTACAAACCAACAACTCTCCCGGGTGATGGGAATTAAAGCGTTAATCCCGGAGATTTAAGGGGTTGAAGTAATAAGGACGCCTCCGCCAGATCTATCGATTGCCTTATATAACATCGATAGCCGGCACGATGTAGATTATACCGAAAGTACCAGTGCTTAGCCCAGCTATCTTATATTTGGGGAGAGGAGGGAGTAGGGCTCTTTCAACAGATATACAGAGTAATTTGTGGCGTGCCATGGCGGGACAGTTGTGTATATTTGAGTGCGAGTTTTTAAAGCAGCGAATTTGAACAGCTGCCCATATGCGACGGCGTTTAATTGAAAGTGCCTGGTAATTGTAAGGCTAAATGACCCACACTGGTGTAACTGAGTTTGCACCTGCTATGAAGGTAAATCTGAAGCAGTGACAGGGCTTTCTCCAAATTCTTCGCTATTAAAAAGATGACTTCTGGAATTGACACGGACTTCCTCATTAAAATATTTTGCTGCTCCTGTCTATAATGGACTATAAGCAACATTTTAGTTCGTTCTCATTTGCATCTATTCATATTTCTGTCCATGTCGACATTGAGGATGGACAGAGATTTTCATAGGAAGGGTTACTAAAGGATTGCAACTCCATTCGGAGGACTAGCAACACCACCAGGGACCTTCAATGGCACACTGCTAAAGAAAAAGCTCCACTTATTTAACCTCCTACACTCCGTCGCTAACCTCTCCAAATCAAACAACTCCCCAATCGGCATACCCCACCCCGCAAGTAACCACTCGTGTAACCAATGCGTATTGCTCTGAAATGGAAGTGCTTCAAAGGCTAACATATCGCCGGCAACGGCAGCAAATTCCTTCTCCCAAATCCACTTCATTGTTTCCTCTCCACTCTTTACTCCAATCGCCTTCGGTGGTGGGTTCGCAACGTAGTTCTTGGCATCATCGCCTTTGAGAGCCTCAAGTGCTTTTACGAAGCCGGAATGGACGAAGAGAATATCTCCTGGCTGGAAAGTGACGCCCTGAGCAGCGGCAATTGCGTTCAGCTCCTGGACGGTGATCTCGGTTGTGTCGAGGACAGCTGGTTTGAGACCTTGAGATTCGGCCCAGCCTTTGTAGTCGAGGAGGACTCCACGACCGACGACACCCCCGTTTTCTACCCAGACTACAAACTGCTCAGCATCTATTCCAGTAGCCAGATTGGAGATCTTACCATGAGTGCCAATTCTATTCGAATTATGCACATCCTCCTGCTTACACCCATTAAAAAATACCTTATGATCCTGATATCCTGTTCTCGTCAGCCATCTTCACATTTCACCCTCTCCACACCACTCACCAAAGTGCCTAAACCCATCCCACTGGGAGCTACTCTGCGTATTGAACATCACCGTGTCGTCGTTAACCGACCGGGGCTCCTTGTGTTTAATCGTGTGTTCGAACTTCGCTCTCCCAAATCCAGGTACTTTCGGCTGGTCCAAAGCCCAGTCTGTGCATATCCTGATGCCGTGGACGATTTCTTTTGTTGCGGAGAGCGTGGTTTGAGGTGTGAGGCGATTCAACATTCCCAGCTCATCGGTGGGACCATAGAGACCCCACGCATTGCCTCGGGGCCCGTCTTTTTTGAGGGGGAGGGAGGAGAAAGGGGGTGTTTGTTGTGTCATTTTGAGGTATCCGTAGGTGCAATTGACTACTATAAATTTTGGACTACTTTGATTTGTGTAGAGTAGGAAGGAACCTTCTTGGAGGAAGACGTCAATGTCGATGGTGGGGTAATTCACGTGATATAGCGGGGTATCCCTGGGGTCGGAAAGGGGAAAAGGCGCCAAAGGTGGGATGATATCCGGAGACAAACTAAAGCCAGGGGCTTCCGGAGGCATGACCCCGGATTTCCGAGATCTGTGGTTCCGAGAAATCTTGATGCAGAAAACTCATTTCATCCCAATTTTGCATTTCCGAGCGTGGCAGCTGCGAGACTTTTCTGGCTACGGTACGGGCTGATTTAGCAACGCCACTGCAAAAATCACGATCCGATAAATCGCGATTCATTAGCGTCCTGAAAGGAGCCCGTACCGGCCGTACAACGTATCCGAGCTTGCTTTCCCCGAGAAACACTTCTTCGATCTTCGCACTTATTTTTCACGCCATGCAAGTGGAGCCCCAGTGGAAGCCCGAGTCCCCAGCCGGGGGTTCCGAGAGCCACTTGTGTGGCTTCCTGGCTGAATCTCATCACGATTTTTCGCGATTCCTGGCTGATGTTTGACAAGTGACGGCGATGAATGCGACATCTGGGCTTTCCGGGGCGTATGGGGCTGCGCGCGGGGGTATCCTGGATTCGTGATTTCTAATTCGGGTTGAAGAACTCATTCACCTCTTCAAGCATCACAATTGGGATCTCAAGAATTGTGAGATATTGGGAACTTCTACCGCTATTCTGCTTCTTCCTTCTCGACAAAACTGGCATCATGGCAGCAGACAAACCAACGAATTCTCAGGTCAATGCTGCCTCGAATCAGATAGGGGACGCCCAGAAGTTTCCAACTGCTAATGGGGATGTCGACTTGAAGATGTTCGATGATTACGGCGCTCTCGCATCAGTGATTGATGAAAAGGCAGAGCGAAGACTTGTCAAGAAGTTGGACATGTTTATCATTCCTTTCTTTTGTGCCACCTACCTCATCACTTACATCGATAAAGCTACTTTGAGCTATGGTACGCAACCACTTTCCCATGCTCCAAACTATACTGACAGATTCAAGCTGCTATCTTCGGTCTCACGAAAGATGTCCACCTGGTAGGAACACAGTATACCTGGCTTGATTTAATATTCAACTTCGGGTACTTTGTTCGTAGGCCTTCCAGTCCACGCATAGCATGTGTTATACTTATCAAGGCAATTCGAATACCCAACTAGCTTCGCTATGCAAAAGTTCTCTGTCGCAAAATGGCTAGATGCAAATATCTTCGTCTGGGGCGGCATCTGTATGGCACTGGGGGGATGCAGCAACTTCTCTTCTCTTGCCGCACTTCGATTCATACTCGGAATGCTTGAATCATATTCGACCTCCGCATACTACAGCGCTTAAACGCTGGAATTTGGAGGTATTATAGGGCAGTTTAGAGACTAAGCCACTGTAGTTGCAGGGGCATACCCCAGAAATGTCTTTTAATCCCGGAAACGCCTTACAGGGCTTGAGTCTATAGTTATAGAACTTCTTGCGTCTGCCTCTACTATAATCTGAGCCTATAGTGGACAAATAATGTATCTCGGCCAGGCATACCTTAAAGTCGCATGGCTTTATGCCGCGATATCCGTATCTCCAAATCTAACCCGCGTTCGACCAACAACCCATCTCCTTCATTCAAGCAAGTAACCCCACAAAATTTCAACCAGATAATCCTGTACAGATTGCAATAGCAGCGGGGGAGACGAAATTGGTGATCGCGGCCCCTATGATGGAGGAAATCAGGGGCTGTGATTTGGGCGGCGGCGATGGGGGTGGAGGTGGGGGCGAATAAATGATATTCTATTATAGACTCACACAGTAAGCACTTCCATGCTAAATAGAAAGCTAAAGACTAAGTTTTGTTTTGAACTTGGAGTGTGTTGGCGAATATGGTAGAAGTTCTCATTGAGAGAAAATGTCACATGTGACGGCAGTTGGGAATGAGGCTGGTGAGGACAAAGGGATATATAAGGATTCGTTACACTTGCTAGGCAGAGAATTCCTGCAAGGATTTGCAACCGCAGGGCTCAAATATCAAGATCTCTTTGTGAATATTAATGCTCTTTCCCTTTTCAAATTATTACACAAGCTCTTGATATCATTTCCAAAACAAAGTGAGCGGAACTCATTGCTGGGGCTCTTAAGTTCCCTTCATTCTGGGACCAGATTATACTTTCATTAAAACCATCTGGTCTCAAGCCAATTCAAATAGTCCTCCCAGAGATACTCAACCCGTCCGCCAAACGCCAGCATTTCTTAGCAGTACCCATACACTAGTATCTAAGCCCACACCAAAAACAGTTATACTATTATCCCCAGTCCTAATAACTTCTGGAGCTGAGTTCAAGACCCCTCCTAAGGAAATCCAAGACGGGCTCCACGTTGAACCCGAAAGTTGTTTCGTGTACATACCTCCATCCAAGCCTATTCCAAAAATATCAACTTGGTCAGCGCCAGAGACGACAGCAACAATAGAACTTTCAAAGTCCCTCCGAATGACATCCAGCTCACGCTCCAAGAATCATTACTGTAAGATCGGTACCAGGCAGCATTATCGGACCCGACACCGAAAAGGTCGAGTTGTCCAGAGCCTCTGGTAACCACTACGGGCTCACTGGAGAAAACACCACCCAGTGATTCCCAATTTGACCATTGTGGATTCGAAGTCATGTCCCATGCCATATGCCACATTGCATTGTCAAGACCAATGCCAAATATATCACGTCTATCAGAATCTTAGGAAGGTCCTGCGAGTGGACTCTTCAATGAGCCGCCAAGCTTACCCCATGTTGTCCATTCTCCAGATGAACACCAAGACCCTCAAAGCGCATTCTCGGTACCGACGACGTAAACATCGAGCAGGCCAGGGGCTCGGACAGTAACTGCTGGGGGACTGAGAAGGACACCTCCGAGCGAACTCCAGTCCGTCCAGCTGCTTCTATCCCAGGTTTTGTGCCACAGTGCACGATCAGTGCCAACCACAAAAGCTTCTATGGGACTAGTGCATCCCACTGAAATGGCAGGTGAGCTGGTTGCTCACACCCGGGGGCTTCATCACCCACACATCCACTCCACCAGACTCCCCGAGAGTTCTTACCAGGACACGGATTACCAGGCTCCGCCATCCACAGCTTAATTCGCTGCGAGTTCCAAGACTGCATGAGAACATCCACTGCTCGACACATATACAAGTAAATCCTCCTCCGCCTTGTTCCCCTCTGGCCTTGACTGACACTTTGCAGCCGCCACAGAAAGTCACACTTACAACCGGAATGCTGCCCCCTTTGTGGCCGCGGTTTTGAGATAATAAAAGGTCTCAAACGCCATCACAACGATATACACGAAACCACGAAGAGATACTACTGTTCTGTTATCAATTGCAAGTATGCACGATTGGGGAAGAGGAATGGGTTTACGAGGAAGGATAATTGGACACGCCATATGCGTAATCGACATGGCGCAGGAGGTGTGGATGTGAGTAGCAGTGGCTAGCGATGATTCTTCCTGCCGCAGCTGCCGGTATTTAGGTTCTATGATTTTGTTTGTTGAGGATTTCGTTCGGGATAGGAACCGATTGATGATTAAATGATATGTCGGAGATTTTCCTTTCACCTTTGATGTTTGTTCGTATTTCTATAGCTATAATTGCAATTTCGGGTTGACCTTTTTCATAATAACTTTCAAATATCTGTTATGTTGTCGAATCGAAGAGTTTATTCACGCTAATAGATAGAAAGATAGAAAGAGTGCAAGACTAAACAAGTGGTCTAATATGAAAGAGGGTCAGACGATCTTCTTTCTTCTGCTTTCCCAGCGAATGTTGATCTTCACGTGACCTTGCCCCTTTTTCATGAAGGGGAGCTAGCCGAGTTGCTAAATTGTTGTAGGTCTTAGTAGATCTGCTCATTTATATAGCCATGACCGCTACATTTCCTCCCCGGATTCATTCTCGCAAGATGGGAGAGGGTGGCCATAGAACTGGTGGCGGCGGGAGCCTCCTATTCGATGTGCAAGCGGGCCAATGCTTCATTCATAAATGAAGCCACAACACCCAGCAGGCAACGACCTCGATATTCAACGGCATCACAGCTCTTTCGCCAAGTGAGAAGTCTGCGAGTCGCAACTCTACCGTACGATTCCACCTCAGCCTCGTCACCTCGTCCAACACACTGATAGGCATTAGAGACGTAAGGGGAGAGACTCGCCGCCATATCACCATGCCTTCCACATATCAATATGAAGAGTTGCCTACGGGGAAGTGGATGCGCCTGCTGAAACTTCTCTCAGGCAAGAGCCGTAACCAGATACCCACATACCAACGTGAGGAGTCGCCTACGGGGAAGCGGATGCGCCTAATGAAACTTCTCTCAGGCAAGAGCCATAGCCAGATGCCCACATACCAATATGAGGAGTTGCCTACGGGGAAGTGGATACGCCTAATGAAACTTCTCCCAGGCAACAGCGATGACCAGATACATCTTGAACTCTTCACAGCCGAGCTAGAGAGTGCGCCTCCTTACGAAGCAATTTCCTATTGTTGGGGAGACCCGAACGATCAAGAGGAAATCCTCTGCTGTGGACGGTCCATGTACATCACGCGAAGCCTGTACTCTGGATTGAAATGCTTTCGATATCCTCAGAAGACTCGGATCTTATGGGCTGACGCTGTTTGTATCAACCAGTCAAACGACAACGACAAAGGCCATCAAGTCAACATGATGGGCGATGTTTACGATCACGCGTCCACAGTCTTGGTCTGGCTTGGAGAGGCCTCGACCCTTGCCGCGGAAAAGGCTTTCCACCTTATTCGCAAGATCAATGGATACATGGACTCTAAGATTTTAGAGAGCGAACTTGCCAATAATCCGTATGAAGCAGTGGTGGATGTTCCAAAGCCGGAAACACGAAGTCAGCTCTTCCAAGATGACTCGGAATCAGAAGCCCTTCGTGACTTCTTTCGCCGTCCCTGGTTCGACCGCCTCTGGGTGCTCCAGGAGGTCGCACTTGCCTCCTCTGCTTGGGTTTACTACGGCGCAACTTCTATCAGTCTCACTGAAGTGGTTCAATTTGCTTTCGTATTGATAATGCGTCCAGATCTCCAAAACAATTTCCTCACTGGGCGTGTGGGAGATGCTTTTCAGAACGTTTTTTGTACATATGCAAAGAAGAACACCTGGATCCAGGAGAAGTCTATTCTTCGGCACGCGCGAGATTACATAGAACGGAGCGCAAAACCAGCTTTTCAAGAGATTCTCGACACTGGTCGACGTTTTGGCACGACGAAGCCACATGACCACATTTATGCATTTCTCGGACACCCTTCTGCCAGAGCAAAAGATGGGTCAGTTGGTATACTCGAAGCAGATTACACACTTGACATCGAAGATGTGTACCGACAGCTTTCTGAAAGGCTGTATGAGCGAGATCGACGACTCGACTTTCTCTGTAATGTGTTCCACTATGATCCAAGTTCAATCGAGCAAGCACAATCCTGGGCTCCTAAATACCACAATGGAGGAAATCGTGCTAGCATGTACTGGCTAGGGTGGAATGTCGACAACTCTGCAGAGATGGAGATGTTTATCAAGGTTGATTTTCATAATAGCATGCTTCATGGTCGGAGCCTCTTATTCGATTCAATCGCGACTTTCACTGAGACCTTCAAGGAGGAGGATTTCGAATCTATGAGCCCTACTCCTGTGGAGATATGCTGGAATTTGGAAGCTAGCTTCACCGAATCCATGGATATAGACGAACGATTGCGAGATTTCAGGTGGACAATGGCTGGTGGAAGCTACACTGGGGGCGAAGCACGTTTGCAGAGGGATTTCGAATCGTATTGCATGGAAAAGACTTCGTCGGAATTTTGCGCCAGCATCCAACTAGGGAATTTCTCATCGGATGAAACATCCTTAGCTAATGGAGATTGGAAGCGATTTGAAAGTGTAGCACTTATTGCCATGGCTGAAAGAAAATTCTTCATCACAAAAGATGGCCGCTTCGGTCTTGGACCGTCGCTCCTCCAAGACGGGGACATTTGCTGTGTGTTTATGGGCTGCAGAATGCCCCTAATAATTCGTCCGACGTCTACACCAAACCACCTCAAGGTTGTTGGGCCCAGCTACATCCATGGGGTAATGCACGGGGAAGTAGTTAAAGCTCGTGTCAAATCCCTTTCTGACTTGACTGAGATTACGCTTGTGTAAGGCGCCGGTGGAGGTGTGGTCATGGCACGGACGTACAGGACTGTTTTCCCTTTTTGTCAAATAGTTTAGCTGGTCTTCGTGGAAGCTGAAGGAAATTATTACTAGTCGCTCCCTGGCTCCACAACGGAAAGAGACTTGCCGGTTTGGCTTAGAAGAAGGAGCTGGCAATCATCATAGTAGGACTCGAGAGGGTATAAGTGGGGAATATTTACTTGGCTTCTTCTCAATCCGTCATGTCCATATGGATTGCCCTTGCACTTGCATAGGAGAGAGAGCGCAAAAGACTACTCTCATATAGCACTATTCGCAAGGGAGCCAAGGCTTTCGAATTTAAGGTCGTAGGTTCAGTTGTGGATCTCGAGGACGTGGCTGCTTGAACCTATACTTATCAATTCTTCGAGTCCCCCTTTTGCTAGCAGGGTGATGGAACATCTCCTGTCCTATCTCTTGCTATTAACGTCTCATCCGCTATCCATTTTCAGCGTGTTGTTTCTGAAGATACGGCACTACTTTTCATTATATAAAGAAGAACCTTAAGAGTTCCACTATCTTAATAATTACTGTCCAGACTTCGTTTGTTGTCAACTTTCAGCTCCCTGTTCTAAACATTTTGGATTATCCCCTTATATAACATAAAGAGCACCAAAAATCCTTTATAATTCTACCTGTCTCAACTTTTGCCGTCAAGGTATTATCTGCTATTAATTTTCGGCTCGCAGCAGCTACGTTTTGACTTGTCTCTTCCTTATACCCTAACAAGAAGCATTCGAGTTTGTGTTACACAAACTCCTTAACGATCACCTTGTTATAGCGGGTATTACGTGCATCCAGGTGCCCCATATCGCTGGACGCGACTCTCCTTTTCGTTGTTTCTTTGAAAAGAAGGTTCAGCAGCCTCAAGTTTCAAAATCTTTGATAAATGAAGCAGATTCTCATGATATGACTGAGCTCACTTCTAATTCTCTCAGCTATTATTCCAAAAAGTGAATAGATATTGTATGTAATAGCTGTACTCAAATCAGTCCTTACTTCTTTTCAATCCCACAACCACTACTCAAAATGTATAAAAAGCTATAGTATAGAAAGAGGCATCTCATACACCTTAGCTACACTCTACTACACACAGCTTCCCCAGGGACAGTTATCCTCGACCCCTCGCCTATACCAAAGAAATTGTAACTTTAAGAAAGGTATGTCTATGCTTTCTAGAATAGTTAGCATACTTTGAGGTTATGTGAAAAGGGTAAGCTGAAAATAAGAGGCAGCCGAAAATTTACAGCAGACGAGACGTTGACAACAAATTTCATTTTCGACAAACAAATCTCTTATACAAAGTCTCTTGAATCATACCCTGCTTTTATTATTTAGATGATGTTCGCCATCCGACATGGCAAGCTAAAAATTAACAGCGGACGAGACGTTGACAGTGACGCTTCAGACAATGAATAATTTGTCTAATCTTCAAAAGAAGTCTTGGAATATAGAGAGGTTACGCGTGAGCAGCAGATATAAAATTTCAAGAGGTTTGAGGTTTAGTGTTTAAGGAGAAGTTACACGGTGGCCCCATATGCGTGCCATTCTGCTAGATACTGTATTGACAGAGAGCAAGGAGGTTGGAGTTCGAGATTAGATATTTTCTACTTCTATATTTTGGCAATCTCGTATAGTTAGTAAATGGAAGCGCTCTACTTTCACTTTCGAGAAACGATTGCTATTAAACATTACTTTGCTGATGCATCTCAGGAAAGCCCAAGTGTTTAAAGGTATTGGAAAGTGATTGATTTATTGATGGAAAATCGATATATTGGAGGTTGACAATCTGTAGAATGACTAGATACAGGAGAGTGAAGTGTAAAAACAGAGGAAAAGTGTCTAAAGTAAGGGATTTATTCCCATTACCCTTCGGCGATACCGGTAATGCTGAGCCCGCTTTCTCCGATACATTATTAATCAGCTAATAAATCAAAAGTAATCAAAATGACGATATACTAGTAAGCTTGGTAAGCTCAGCGAGTGACGCATGACAAATGAGAGTGGAGAACCCTAAATTAGTGGTTGAACCTGGTACTGGAAGGACTGGTGAGCTAGCTATGGTAGCGTACCAATTTTAATACGCCTCCTCCTTACAGTCGAGGTTCGATGTCAGTGAGGCTAATAAGCCCCAATTTCGATCGTAGCAGTTCAAAAGCCGGTCTAGGAAGTGGTTTGGTGAGAATATCGGCCGTTATTTCCCCCGTAGGAACGTGCTTGAGATCGATTTCCTTAGTATTAATGTGGTCCCTAATAAAATGGTGTCTAATATCGATATGCTTGGTTTTTTGCGAAAATCGGGCGTTCGTAGCTAGATCCATAGCTCCCTGAGCGTCCGTTTTTATCTCAATTGAGCCTATAGGAATTGATATTTCCTTAAATAGTTGCTTTAGCTATAAAGCTTCTTTAATTACCGGCGTCAGGGCGACATATTTAGCTATAATAGTGGCTGTAGCAATAGTTTTTTGCTTGGTACTAGCCTAGCTAATGGAACTACCAAATAGGGTAAAAACCATACCGGAGGTTGATTTGCAATCCTGTAAATCGCCTCCATAATCGGCATCTGAGTATCCTATAAGCCCTTTATTAGACGAAGCGTTATATAGAATGCCCATATTAGGTAATCCCTTAATATATTGCATTATACGCTTCTGTACGGTACCATACAATGCTTTAGGATATGAATTGGAACGTCCTAAGTACCCTGCGGCAAAGCAGAAATCGGGTTGTAAAGCTAATAATGGCCATATAAGTAATCCAGTTTAACTTTAATATTTAGTAATATCGATATTAATTCCATCAGGTGCCGTAGGTTCGGCCATTGGAGTAGTAATAGGCATGTAATCTTCTATTTAATACCTTAGGAGCATGTCTATAAGATATTGATTTTGGTATAAAAATACCGAACCGTCCTGCAAATATATGATTTCTATACCCAGAAGCGTTTTGATTTCTCCCATATCGGTTATATTAAACTTCTAATGTAATTGAGCTTTAATTCTATTAATATGGTTTATGTTTTTTCTTATAATAATTATGTTGTCTACGTAAATAGCAATTAGAATTAGTAGCTAATTAACCTCGTATTCCCGGTAGATATAGAGCGCTGGATTACTAAGTAATCGCTGGAACCCAATAGAGTGGAAAAAACGATTAATTACCTAATACCAAACCCTAGGGGCTTGTTTCAGGCCATAAATGCTCTTCCGTAAGTGGCAAATAAGGTTCATTCCTTCAGTAAAACCAGGAGGTTATTCCATATAGTACTCTTCTTCTAATTCTCCATATAGGAATACTATCTGAACGTCTATTTATTAGATATATAGCCCATATTTAGCCGCTAGGGCTAATATAATTCGAATAGTAGAAAGTCTAGTAACTAATACAAACGTTTCAAAGTAATCTACACCATATTCTTGTATATAGCCTTATACTATAAGCCTAGATTTGTGGTGTCTATTAGACTTAATTTTGAAGATCCAGCGGCATCTAATGGTTTTTTGGTATTTTCGTACTACTAGATCCCAGGTATAGTTCCGCAAATAGGAGTCCAGTTCCTTCTTAATTAAAGGTCTCTAAAGATGGGTATCTGGACTAGAGAGAGCTTCTTTAATTAATAATAGAATTTTGGAAGCTTCTATATTCTGGTTGCTGACTATTAAAGCTCGGTAATCCACTGTTTCCCCGGTAATTCTAGTTGATTTCGGATATCTAGGGAGTAGTTTATCCCTAAAACTGACCATTTTGGGTGCCTCCTGATTTATAGAACCCTGTTCAGAAGCACCTGTAGGTACTATAGGTTCTTGGTTATTCTCAAATAGGGGCTCAGGGGGCTCGCTTAGGTCAGGAGTATCCCTAATTACGTTATGTAACGCGTTTTCAGTAGTACCCCCTTCGGTATCGGAGTGATTTTCTCTATCGTTTTCTGATGGATTATTAAGCTATTGATTTCCAGTATTAATAATAATGGTATCTCCGTAATCTATATCGGGGTTATCCGAATTATTAGTGGAACTATCGTCAGATTCTGTAGCAGTTCCTACTAGTCTTCTATATAGCTGGGACACTGGGTTTAGGAGTAAAACTCCCTTGACGTGTTCTTTAATAGTGTAATGGTTAGAAATAATGAATATCCGCTTATGCGGGTTCCAAATTCGGTATCCAGAACCACTATAGCCGGTAAAAATGCCCCTAAAGGCTTTGGCCATATACTTATGCCATGAAGCTATTTCCTTGGGTATATGAACGTATGCCAAGGAGCCGAATATATATAAGTTGGAAACGTCCGGTTTAGCCCCATAAAACGCTTTATATGAAGTCATACCGATTTTGGGCAGGTAATACCGATTATAGGCATAAATCCCATATATAGCGGCTTCCTCCCAAAACTCGTATAGTAAGCCCGATTATTCTAGCTCCGTATACTCTGATTTGATAATCATATGCATACTGTATTTAGAAACACTATTCTGCTCAGGCGTATAAGTGGTAGTTAGTTCCAAGCAAATACCCTTTAATTTGTACTATTCCTTGATTTGGCCTGATACAAATTCCGGAGCATTATTAAGACGTAGGCGTTTGACTTTATTCCTAGTTTGGGTTTCAGAGAAGGTAACCTGATTTTGGAGATCGGTAAAATAGCTTTTTCTGTCTGAATTATATGCTGCTATATAATATTTGGATCCCTTGCAGGTAGTGGATAGCATATAAGTATTTCCACTAAAGGAGGCTACCCTTAATGGCCCCCACATGTCGATTATAATATACTTTCCTGGAAGCAGTTTTTCAGGGTATAAATCGCTTATACTAGCCCTAGTGATTTTACTTATATTATAGGGATTATAGTCAAACGGGTTTTGATTTTTGAATTAGAGTCTATTAACGTGGTTTACTAATTCCAGGATATACTTCGTATTTAGGTGGCTATATCTCTAATACCAGGTTTCCAGGGAGGCTAGCGTATCCGATTTTGACGATTTTAGGGCATGCCCTAAACCAAATTAGTCAAGCTAATATAACCCAGTAAATGGTTTATATATACCGGTTGCTATAGTCGTTCCGTCATTAATAATATGGGCTTTCCCAGTGGAAAAATTAATGCTTTTTCTAGCTTGGGTAATTTTGGGAATCGATAATAATGACGTGTTTCGGAATTGGGGGCTATATAGTACGTTATTCAGCTATACTTTTAGCTCAGGAGTGGTAGATAGAATAATGGTTCCCTTACCCTTAATAAGAATCGTGGATTCGTTACTAAGGGTAATAGGGAATGGTTCCATATCTTCGTAGGTAATAAAAGAGCTTTTACTCCCCGTAAAATGGTCCGTAGTACCCGAATTAATATACCAG